GATTGGCTGCTTCCCCGTGACATCACGCGGCTCGGGGAAAAGTGCGAGCGTGAGCGCGAGTCGGAGCCACAGCGCCGGGAGCTGCAGGCGGAGCAGGGGCCGCCCCTCGGCACCCCGTCCCCGCCCCCGGCCCACGGCCTGGCCGCCCGCCCCTCCGGCCCGCCGGGCCTCCCGTCCGTCCCGCCGTCTGTCCGACGCGAAGGAAGCGGGACAGCGGCGGCGGGTGAGTGACTCCGCTGCGGCGCGGGGGCGGGGGGCTCGGTTGGAAGAGAAGGTTGCAGGGCTTCGGGACCCTCTGAGGGTTTCCAGAGGTGGGTTCCACTGGCACAGGGCCCCAGACCTCTTCAGGGGCTAGCGCGGTGCTGGGAGCGGCAGAGGGCCCCGGGGGTGGGCCACCCCTCTGGAAGAAAGGCCCGGGGTCTCTCGGAGACTGCTCCAGGTGCGCCTCTAGGGAAAGATGGCCATTCAGCAGGTCCGGGGCAGAGGAGTGCCCGCCTACAGCAGCCCCCCAAGCCAGCGACAGCCGTCGGGTCGGGACCCTGCACTCCATCCCTCCCACTGGCAGCTCTGCAGGGTTCCGGGCTCTGGAGCCCAATAGAGCCTTTTTCCCGCTCGTCTCCCCGCCCTCMCCTCCTCCCTTGACTGCCCGGGAGCTGCCTGCCCACTCCAGCCCATGGAGTCCTCTATCAGCGACCTTGAACCCCGACGGAAAACACCCCTGCCCTCTCCCAGTGCCCCTCCCCCTCCCCGGGACTAACCCCCGCTGTGGCCCAGGCTCTGAGCCGAGGAAATCCAGCCTCAACCACCACCACCCCACCCTCCGGACTCGCAGCGGAAGTGTGGGGTTCCTTGTCCATTCCGAATCCCCTGCACCCTTCTCCCTCCCCTGAACTCCGGAGTCTCCTCTCTGGCCCCAGGGACAAATCCAGGGGCCACAGCTTTCCAGAGCCCGGGAATAGCAGCTTCAAAACCGAGGACGAATGTCCCAAACCACCACACAGGATGCCAGAGCATCCATCTGCCTTGCACGGGGAAGGGTTGGGGTCTCGAGGACCCGGGAAAGCCTGGTGCCCACGCCCAGAGGCTGTTGCAACTGCGTGCTAGAGGRTTGGCGGGAGGGCGGGGCACCGGAGAGCGAGGGCTTCACCGACCACCACCCAGCAGTGGAGGAGCCCCCAGATGGGCCCWGGAGTAATCCTCAAGCTGATCCTCGCGTCTCCCCTGAGCCCAAGGCTTGGGAAAACGGTGCCTACTTTGGCCCAAGGGCTAGGCAGGGCCTCTCTAGCAGGGAGCAGGGATGCAGGGTGACGAATGAAGGAGAGAAAGAATCTTAAACTTGTCTGACCCAAGCCCAAGCCGGGTCTCTCCATTGTAATTCTGCTGCCCTTGCCTTCTCACCACTGGGCACGCTGAGCTGAGCCTGGGGTCCCTCAAGGCCAAGTTGGGCGACTATTGCAGCCCTTGACAGAAGTCAATTGCAAGGCTGGGACTCCACGCCTCATCCTTGAGGACGMGGACAACCCCAAGCGTCGGACTAAATGATGTCTCAAAGTCTGGGGTCCGTCGCTTTCCGTAGTGTAGTCTGGCCTCAGCCCTTCCCCATCTACAAGCCAGGCACCATCTGGGCGCTGGCTCCTGGCGGACCCTCTCCGCCTTCAGGAAGACAGCTAAATCTAGGCGAGTCCACCGGCCTCGGTTGGAATGGGTCGGCCCTGCATTTGCTCGTGAACTCAAGTTCGCAAGCACAGCCGCTTGCACCGTGTGTGTGCATGCCCCAGGAATGCACATGCATGTACATGCACGTGTCCACATGGCGCGGGCATGCTCACGCGCTTACCGGCGCATTGGTATCCAGGCGTGGCTGTGCGCACACACGCACATGCAGACAGCTAGTAGCGTCTACTCGCGCTCCTTGGTAATCACACACAAACAGAGCTCGCACTCGCGTTCCCGCCCACACGTTCCTCTCCCGGTGCCGGGTGGAATCCGGGCGCCCTAAACTTTCTAACCCTTGAACCCCTGGCAGAGTTGAGGGCAGTTTTGTGGGCAACCTCAAGTAGGGTCTGGCAATGGGACCCTATGCCCCTTCCCTAAGAAGCCTTGCCTAGGGGTTCCTCGGGGTTTGCGGTCGGGTTGAAGTTAGGGGCGGTGGCGAGCGGCTGCCCGCTCGGGGTCCCCGAGCTGGCACCCAGGGACCGACATTGCCATCTAGTGGTGCGCAAGCTCCGGGCGGCCGGCATCTGGCTCGCCTCCTCAGATCCTGGGCGGGCCTGGATTCCAGGGAAAGGAGCTGCGGTCAGGTTGTCTGCGGATGACCCAGAGGGGTCCAGAAAGACAGCCTGGATCAAGTTGTGGAGACAGAGTTTGCCCTGTCTGCAACTGGCAGGCCCCAGAAGGAAACTAAATCACCGGCCAATTATTTGTTCAGGCTCAGCCTAACCCCACCCAGGACAAGAGGTCTCCTGTCCAAGAAAGTTAAGTGCGGGAGAGGGCAGAAATAGGAAGGGACCAAGGACCTAATGGGTCCCCCAGTTGTGTGGCTTTGAAAGGGAGGACTGTGCACTTGTACCCCGAGTTAAGAAGGTGGCTCTCGGTTCTAATTCTGCCTCTGCCCTGCTTTACAAATTGAGTGACTTAGGCAAGCTATTTACTATTATCCTTCTCTAAGAGGATATTTATATCCATAAGATTAGACTACTRATATACCTGGATATATTGGGCTGTTGTAAGAAGCATAAACCAGACAATCTATATAAAAAGCTCAGAGGGGTTCCTGTGTCACGTTGACACTCAATAAACAAGAGCTGTTTTCATTTCATATTTGGCACATCTAGCCCCCCTATTCCTTACTCCCTGCTGCCGTGTCCTGACCCTATGATGCCAGTGTGAGGATTTCCTGGAGGCTGAYTGGATCATTCTTGCCCACCCTGTTCTCATGGGCATGTGCCTGGGTTGGGCAGCCTCAATGTGCTGGGTGCTACTGCCCTTCCAATTCAGAGGGTGACACCTGAGGATCTAGTTCAGAGGCTCTCAGAGCTGAACGAAGCTGTCAGACTCTTGGGYGAAGGCCCTCTTTGCCCTTTGCCCTTGATTCCTTGAGTGACCTTGGGGGTGGCATTACCTCCCTCAGCCTTTCCTCCTGTCAACCAAGGATTTGGAACTGGAGGACTTGAAGTCTGAGGCCATGAGGCTGGGTCTGTGTCTGTGATGGTGAAGTAGGGCACAGGGGCCAGGCTTGGGGGACACCCTGGTGCTAGGCTCCAGCCCTCAGTGCCATTTCCAGGCTGGAGAGGAAGTTGAGGAGCCAGTCCCAAAGCTGTTCAGGAGGTTGTCCCAGGGCAGGATCCTGTTCAGCAAATGAGAAAGGAGGTGCAGGAAGGCGAGGTGGCATCCCTGGGGCTGCCCTCTACCCACCCCGCTGGGCTTCTAGCAAGCTGGCTGCAGGGTGAGTGCGTCTTCCTCCACACCCGGCTGCCACGCCCGCTCTTCCTCTTTCACACACACAGACGCACAGAACTGCGTCTACGACCTGCGTGTGGCTGAGATGGGGCCGTGTGCGTATGTGGAATGGTGTGTGTGTTGGCGGGTGTTAAGGAGGCTGGGCTGAGCGGCTGCCCTGGCACAGCACGCTGGGCGTGGGCCTCCCTCACATGTATGGAAGAGGAAGAGGAGGAGGAGAGCTGAGGAGAGGCTGGTGGGAGGGAGCGAGGGCTCAGGGCAGGGGCCTGGGGCTTGGGAGACCCCAGCTGGGGCAGCCTCTGCATGGGGGTGTGGGAGGGGCTCCCTGAGATAATCCTTTTCTATTTTGCCTTCCCGGCCCAGCCTCAGGGCTGGCCTTGKCCCTGGGGAAGTCACTTGTTGTTCCTGGGCTGATGGATCCTTTAGGCTTCTGACTCCTGGGGCTTTGAGCGCCAGCTACCCCTGYGCTAGCTCCCCGGGGCTTGGGCTGGAGGTGAGGGCCAGGGAGGGAATACTGAGACTCTTCTGCACAGCTGCTGCTCCTCCTCTTGGAAGTGCCCGGCTCCTCCTCATCTCCTCTCGTCCTCTGGGATCCCTCCTACCCCGCACACACACACTCCCTTGGAATCACCGGCTCTGGTGACTCTGGCTTCCCTCTGCTAGAACCCTGAGTTATGGGACAGCTCTCAGCTCATCCCACACGCACGTCTCTAACAACAGGACATCAAGGGGTTTCCAAGTCTTGGTTAGGTTATTTGACATCTCCGTGCCAGTTTCCCCATGTGTAGGTAGTGAAAAATAACTGCCTCCTACATTTATTGTGAGAATGTCGTGAGTTAATACTGTTATTATTAAAAGTGTTTGGTAGACAATGAATATGGGTTGGGGCGGTGATGTATACTCTCGTATTAGTGTAGAATGTGCCAAGGCCCCAGGTTTGACCTCCAGCACAAACAAAAAATGAAAAGAAAATGACCACGTGTATGAATGAGCACCTCTCAGCAGACCACACGCACAGCCTCTAGTGCCACTCATTGGACATCCTCTCCCTCCCCCTTGTTTCCCTGGGCACCAGCCGCACTGGCAACGTCTGGGCTCACCACCTGCCCCCAGCCTGTGCTCAGGCCATAGTCCTTAGCAGGACTGGCCTCTACAGCGCCTCCTGTGGCTGCAGGCTGTCAGCACCCTCTTCATCTCCGGAGGGAGGCCTTTCCTGGTCACCTAGCAAGGAACCATCCCTGTCCTGTCTTCCGACTCCCTCACTCTGGGACACCCTGCCTTGTTTCCTTTCTAGCATTTGTTGCTATTGCCCACGTTTCCCTGCCCCCCAATAGATTATACAGGCTGAGATGGGTCATGTGTGTCATGCACCTGGAATGGCGCTTGGCACCAAGGAGGCCCACGATAAACGTTGAGTGAATGAGCACACGAGGAATGGCAGAGCTCACTTATGTTCTGCCAGGTGTYTTTCCTCCATCACCTCGACACCAGTTTCTCTCTTCATCCCACCCCCAGCCTCTTCAACAGTTCATCCCTTATCTTTCCTTCCTTCCCCAGCCACCCCACTGCTACTAACCAACATGGCGAACTTCACACCAGTCAATGGCAGCTCGGGCAACCAGTCTGTGCGCCTGGTCACGTCAACCCATAACCGCTATGAGACCGTGGAGATGGTATTCATCGCCACAGTGACAGGCTCACTGAGCCTGGTGACTGTTGTGGGCAACATCCTGGTGATGCTGTCCATCAAGGTCAACAGGCAGCTGCAGACCGTCAACAACTACTTCCTGTTCAGCCTGGCCTGCGCCGACCTCATCATAGGCGCCTTCTCCATGAACCTCTACACCGTGTACATCATCAAGGGCTACTGGCCCCTGGGGGCTGTGGTCTGTGACCTGTGGCTGGCTCTGGACTACGTAGTGAGCAATGCGTCGGTCATGAACCTTCTCATCATCAGCTTTGACCGATACTTCTGCGTCACCAAGCCCCTCACCTACCCCGCCCGGCGTACCACCAAGATGGCGGGCCTCATGATTGCTGCTGCCTGGGTCCTGTCCTTCGTTCTCTGGGCCCCTGCCATCTTGTTCTGGCAGTTCGTGGTGGGCAAGAGGACGGTGCCGGACAACCAATGCTTCATCCAGTTCCTGTCCAACCCAGCAGTGACCTTTGGCACAGCCATTGCTGCCTTCTACCTGCCCGTGGTCATCATGACGGTGCTCTACATCCACATCTCTCTGGCCAGTCGCAGCCGAGTTCACAAGCACCGGCCTGAAGGCCCCAAGGAGAAGAAGGCCAAGACTCTGGCCTTCCTCAAGAGCCCCCTGATGAAGCAGAGTGTCAAGAAACCCCCACCCGGAGGAGCAGCTCGGGAGGAGCTGAGAAACGGGAAGCTAGAGGAGGCCCCTCCGCCAGCCCTGCCACCGCCACCACGCCCCATGGGTGACAAGGACACCTCCAATGAGTCCAGCTCAGGCAGTGCCACCCAGAACACCAAGGAACGACCACCCACAGAGCTGTCTACCACAGAGGCCACCACGCCTGCCATGCCTGCCCCTAACCTGCAGCCACGGACCCTCAACCCCGCCTCCAAATGGTCCAAAATCCAGATTGTGACGAAGCAGACAGGCAATGAGTGTGTGACAGCAATCGAGATTGTACCTGCCACTCCAGCTGGCATGCGTCCGGCAGCCAACGTGGCCCGCAAGTTTGCCAGCATTGCTCGCAACCAGGTGCGCAAGAAGCGGCAGATGGCAGCCCGGGAGCGCAAAGTGACGAGGACCATCTTTGCCATCCTGCTGGCCTTCATCCTCACCTGGACACCCTACAATGTCATGGTCCTGGTGAACACCTTCTGCCAGAGCTGCATCCCTGACACAGTGTGGTCCATCGGCTACTGGCTCTGCTACGTCAACAGCACCATCAACCCCGCCTGCTACGCGCTCTGCAACGCCACCTTTAAAAAGACCTTCCGGCACCTGTTGCTCTGCCAGTATCGGAACATCGGAACTGCCAGGTAGGCAGGTAGGCGTGCCCTAGGAGGTGCTGGTGTGGCACGTGTGCTGGGGGACCACATGGCTCACCTGCTGTGGGGAAGAGACTAGGAGGCCCCATTCCGTGCTCGAATTTGCTGAAGAGGAGAACTGAGCTCTCCACCACACTTCGAGGAAGAGGCTCTGTTTGGATTCAGAGACCAGATCCCGGCTCAGGCCGAGGGGGCTCAGCCTCTGAACTGGGACCACCTGGCCCATGTCTGTCGCCCTGCCTCAGGGAGCTGGGGGGCACTGGCCCGGGTGAGCGCTGCCCCCTCGTAGGAGCATCACAAGAGAATGGACACCCGGAAGGGGGCAGAGGCCAGGAGCGTCTCCAGAGGTGCAAAGGGGCCAGTCTTGGAAGGGTAGAAGGGTGGGGTCCCCCATTCTGCTGTAATTGGTGCTTTCCGCCTCCCTGCACCCTGCATGTAGGCTCAGCTCCTCCCCCCAAAACTCCACTCCAGGGGCAGAATTTTCCCTCCTGCAGCTGCTCAACCAGGGCTCTGGGTGGCTACGTGCATGGGGGWGCAGGCCAGGCTAGGCTCAGTGCTCTGAGGCACCTCCCTTTCCCCTGTAGCACTGTCCTTGTCACTTCAGGGTGGGGCAGCTGGGAGGTCAGGGATTCACTCAGGAACTGAAGTCTAGGCTTCTGTGGTCCAGCGTTGATGGACTTCCCTCCCCCAGGAGAGAGCCTATCCTGGGTCACACACCAAAGGGGGGGGGCTGCAGTAGGCAGTGCCCTACCATCTTCTCCACTCTGCCTCTGCCCTGAAGGAGATGTGGGCCCAAGGGAGACAGAAAGGGGGTAAAGTCGGTGACCCATGCAGGCTTCAATGACAGTGCAGGGTGAAGCAGGCAAGCACCCTCCATCTCTACCTTCCCCAATGGGCAGAGCCCTTTGATGGATAGTGGGCTGGACCAAAAGACCTTTGACCTGGTGAGGCTTCTTCTAGTGAGTCATCCTGGTTTCCCTCCCCAGCCCTGGTGTGGTTATTGGAAGAAATGAGGACTGGATTTGATGGGGGACCCTTTCATGCTGTTTCCATGGGCTCTGGGGAGTACTCACCACCAAGCTACCAGTTCCCTTCAGTCCATCAATCCCTACCGCCTGTCTTTGCCCACTTTTCCACCCACAAACAAAGCTGCACAGCAAACTCCCTGGGAAGGGGCTTTTATATATTTAAAAAAAAAAAAAAAAGCTTTTATTCGTGAAAAAAAGAAGTCGATTCATTTTATTTATTTCTCAGTAACAGGTCTCGTGGTGGGGAAGAACAAAGTGGGTATTGGGAATCAAATCCCTTTGGGGAGAGGCTCAAGCTTCCCAGAATCTTGTCCCTCCCCACTTGGGGCACTTGGAGTCGGGTGGGGAGTAAAAGACAAAAGCAGGGCATGATTGATAAAGCTAATAAGCAGACAAAGGCACTGGTAGGTTACATCCTGGGCCTGAGGGTGCAGGAAGGGTGCAGGCCTGGCCCTGGGTAAGGCCAGGGGCTCCTTGGCATCCGGACCTGGCCTCAGTCTTTTCCTTTCCCTTTCTTGGCTGTAAAACAAGAAAGAAACACCACATTAGCCCAGTTACAGTGCTCAGGAGAGACCCCCCCCCCTCCAGGTACATCAGAGAGAAAATCCTGCCCCCTAGTGGTCTTCCACCAGCTGACCTGGAAGTAGGTGGGACAGGGCAGCCATTATGATGCCAGATGTTCCCTACTCCCTCAACTTTACATTTTCACCAGGATCAAAAAACTTCCAAGTCACGCGGCGCCTGGCATGCGCGGGGCGCTGGGTTCGATCCTCAGCACCTTTGTTTTACAAATAAAACAAAGATGTGTCCACCGAAAAATTAGAAGCGCAGCTTTACTTCTGTCCATTGGCCTGTCTGGACTGTTGTGAGTCAGGAATGAGCTAAGTAAGAGAGACCTTTCCACTGAAAAGTCCTTCCTCAACCAGAAAGGGGCAGAGGGGACCAAAGAATCCCTCTGGCTGGAGAGATAACAAAGACAAGTGTTCCCTGGGTCCTAAACTAAATGTTTCAACAGAACAATGAGTGGGTCCCTCCTCCAGCCAGAGATCACTTAGTATCTCCTGAGCAGCTCAGTAGCCCTCCCTCTTGTCCTTAGGTGCCAGGGCCCAAAATTTCAGGTGGAGGGTAGCCCCCCACGACAGCCTCACCCAACTCCCTTCACTGACCTTTGGCCTTGGCTTTGGTCTTGGGAGTACAGGGCTTGGTCACGCGGATGGTCTCCTGGCACTGGGCATTGTACCGGGCCTTCTTCAAGGTGCCTTGGCGGGCTTTGGTGCCTGTGCCCCCATCACACGCCCCCCAGCTCTCAAACTTGTATTTGCAGTCGGCTGGCGCGAGAGTGGCCCGGGTTAGAGCTGGGGCGGCTGGTGGCCTCTCTCCACGGCCCTACCCAGGGTTCAGTGAAACTGTGCCCCCCTTTCCTGCCCTCCGCCTGCGCCCCACCTCACCTCCAAACTCCTTCTTCCAGTTGCAAGGCACCCTGCACCGGATGCGCTGGGTCTGGGCCCCGCAGGTGCCCTCGCGGGAACCCGCGCCGCAGTCCTTGCTGCTGGGGGTGCAGGGTCCCCAGGTCCACTCTGCGCACTCGCTCCCTGGGACGCCCTTCTTCACTTTATCTACAACGCGCAGGGGACAGAGTTCAGGACGCGGGCCACCGGAGACTTCCTCGGAGGTTTCCGAGCTCGGAAACCCGGCGGCCGGTCCCGGCTTCACCTGCCCGCCCCCACCATCACCTTTCTTTTTGGCCACCGCGGAGGTGAGCGCCAGCAGCGCGAAAAGGGCGAGGAGGAGGAAGCCACGGTGCTGCATCCTGGTGGAAGAGCAGGGGTCAGAGTCCCTCGCCGGTCCCCTTCCCCACTACTGAGGGCCGCGTGCAGGGACCTCCCACCCCATTTGTTGGGTTCTCCGGGCCGCTAACAGGGCTGCAGGGGGAGGACTTGGAGGGGGCCCCTCCAGCTGGCCAGGTCGCGTCTCCGGATGTGTCTGTCCCCTGGCGTCACCGAGAGCCCGGGACGCTGCTCGGACCCCCAATCCCGCCTCAGCCCCCGGGGTGGTAGCGACCGAGCCGGAGACGGGCCACGGCCGCCGCGCGCCCTCCGCGCCCCCCGCGCCCCGCGCGCTCACTCGCTCGCTGCCTGCGCTGCTTCGCTCCCTCCCGCGCCGGGCCGTCCCGCTCCGGCCGCTGCGGCCCCTTTTGTCTCCAGAACCGGTCTGAGCCGGTCACATGGGCCCCCGCCCCCTCCCCACCTCCCCCCAACCGAGAAAGGACCCGCCCCGCCCCCTCCCCTCAACCCCGCGCCGCCCCCGACCCCGGCGTCCCCGCCTCCGCTCCCGCCCCGCGCCCCTGCCCCGTCCTCGCGGCCTGGGTCCCCGCACCCTCGCCTCTCCCCGCCCGCGCCCCCACCCCGGGCCCTGGGCCGCCGTCCCCGCCTCGCACTCCCAGCCCCTGGCCCCATCTCTCCCTCCCGGCCCTCTGCCTCCCTCAGAGGCCCGTCCCCCTTCCCCGCCGGTCGCCCGGGACCTGGGCCCCCTGGAGCCTTAGACGTGGTCCCAGGAGGGTCACGGAACCCGTGTGTCACAAGCCCCGGGCTCTGCTGAGCCCGTCGAGGTCGCACTCCACCTTCCGCCGGCAGCCCCCGGGTTTCCCGCGTGTTTCTGCGGAGGGCGCGCCGCCACCCCCGGGGCAGGTAACGGCCCTGCGGCGGAGAGCCCGGAGCCGGGACGAGAGGGCGCACGGGCTGGGGCGCGGAGGGCGCCGGCGCCTCCCCGGGTTGCTGGTTGGAGGGGGCGAGCGGAGGAGCCCGCAGGCTCGGTCTGGTGGCACTTGGAGCTGACCAGAGCCGTCTGAGAAGTTCCCGACCGACCGTGGCGGCGGCGGGAGACGCCCACCCCCTCCAGCCGGGGCCACGGGGCTCACCTCACCCGACCCCCGAAACAGGCCTGGGGAGGGTGCTAGCCCARGGCCGCGGGGCGACGGGCCGGCGGACCCGGCCAGCTCCCCCCCTTTCACTCTCATTGTTGTCGCCCCAGCGGGAAGCGGGAAGCCGAGGAAACCGACTCCGCCCCCGGCCCGACGAGAGGGGCCGGGCAGAGGTCAGGAGCCGGGCAGGCCCACCCCCGGGGGAGCCCGGGCCTCCTGGGAGGGTCCGGGTCGACAGTGTCCAGTCCCCCACCCCGAGGGTAACTCAGCAGGCGCTGGGGCTTCCGGAAGGCCTCCCCAGCAAAGAGAGAAAAACAGAAAAGGGAAAAAAAAAATCCACTTTACTGAGTCACACCCAGCTGTAAACATGTCACCCACCGAGAGAATCCCCCCACCCCCCAGGCCACACAGCCCTCGATGAAATGACTGGTACACGGGAGGGTCACGGGGTAGGTGCCAAGCAGGGCAGCGGGCAGGCGAGTGCAGCCGGCTCTTGGGTTTCCGGTCGAGGCCCTGAGGGGTGTCAGGGCAGGAGAGGGTCTAAGCTCCCAGGAGCCTGGGGCGGGTCCTAAAGTCCAGGTGGTTTGCGAAGCCTCTTCCTGAAGGCCTCCCTGACTGTGCCTTGGCCACTCTGCCCGGCCCAGTGTCCAGCGGCTGCGGAGCACATCTGTTGCAGTGAGGGTGGGGCTGCCCTGAAGCCGCCCAGCTCCAGTCTCCCAAAGGCCTGTCCAGCCCAGCCGGTTTCCTGTTCCCGTGAGCCTCCTGATCCCCTGTGAGCCTAGGGGTCAGACTGGGGACCTCAGGGGGACAGGTAAGAGCCCCAGCTCCTCAGAGTCCAGCCCTAGGTCTGGGTGGCTTCTCAGGGATGGCACAGGGCTCCTTCCCTGGGTCATGGGTCCCCCCGTGGCCATCTGACTGGAATGTGGCAGTGAGGTGGGCAGGGCAGGAGCTCATCCTTTGGCCACAGTCCCTCGAGCTGCCCCAACTACACAGCCGTCTCCTGGTCCTCCCGCTGGATCATCTGGTAGTGCTGTCGGTTCTCCAGGTAGGCAGCCAGCTCTGTGTCCTGAGCCTTCTCAGCCCGCTGCCGGGGAGTGTCACCCTGGATTTGGGGTAGCTGCAATCAGTGCAGGGGCCACAGGCTAAGGTCCCCACCCCGTTTAGGAAAGGGCAGAGTCTTTTCCTCTGCCTTGTCTCCTCCCCTGCTGGCTCGGGTTTCTCAGGATCTGGACTTTGTCAGGGGAAGGACAGCTTCAAATTCACAAGGGCAGTCCCCACCCCCACATCTGGGGATGGCTGGTTTTGTGCCCTGCTGGCCTGCTCACCTGCTGGTCCGTCTTCATGAGTGAGGCACCAGCTTCCACGATGTAGTGGCAAATGGTGCGCTGGCCCAGAGCCGCAGCCTGGTGCAGACAGGTCTCCCCGCTGGGGGAGCAGAGGCTGGCTGTGTACCTCCTCTAGTCCCTTTTCAGGCCTTCTCCCAAGTGCCATCAGAAAGGGCAGGAAGTTTGGGGACCAGAGGGAAGGGGCAGCCCAGAGGACAACAGGCTGGTCAGCAAAGGTTCATGGGCTCTGACTGAYCAAATGGGAAGGTATGGAGAAGGCTGGTTTCCAGGACAGCCAGGGACCTGAGCTCCCAGGTACTTACTTCTCCTCCACAGCATCAAGGATGTCTGGAGGTGCTGTAGGGGGAAGGTGTGGTCAGAGGCTTGGCATCCTCCCCTCCTCCCACCTGGCCCCAGGAGCACAGCTCACCGTGGTCCAGCAGGTAGCGGACCACTTCCTTGCTGCCAGTGCTGACCGCGTGGTGCAGGAGTGTGCGACTCCGCTCGTCCCGGTGCATGAGGTCGCCTCCTGCTCGATGCAGCTCCTGCAGCTGAGGGCAGGAGGCAGAGCAGGTCTGGGGCTCCTGGGGGCCTTCTCTCCCAGTCTCACACAGGCCCACAGGTACGTAAGCCAGAACAGGCTCACATGCATTACTCCCTAGGCATCCCTGGGGGTCTCTGGAGTGTTAAGGGGAGATTCAGTGGGCTTCTCTCACCTCAGGAATATTAACCACCAAGMCTTGGAGCCTGTTGCTCCCCTAAAACTTGCCCCTAAGCACCAGGGACTGGAGGACTGGGCAAGGAAGCCTGTATTGGGAGACATCTATTGTGGTCACATGGGGAAAGACGGGATGGGACAATTGCTGCAGAGACCCACCAAAGCCAGATGTCACAGGTGTCAGTTCCTGAACAGGTCAGCTCTGGCCCCACCCAGATGCCCCACTCCCTAGGGCCTGCAGGGGATAGGCTGCATCCCGGAGCTAGTACCTTACAGAAGTCGTTCCTCTTGGCGGCCTCAATTAACTCCTCACCTGCACAAAACACTGCCAGTTAAACTCTAAGGTCTGAGGCTCAGGCTCGTGTTGGTGCTGCACTCGTGTTTCATCACTGTGTACACGTGTGTGCATYACTGTACAGAAAGGCACTCCTGCTAGGGCCAGGCTGCTGAGGGCGGGGCTTGTGGAAAAATGTGACCATGTAGGGCTCAGGCTGTCCTTGTGTGGTGCTATGGGCCTCATCCCCACAGAGCCTCACACTTATGAGGGGGGAGAGGGGAGGGACCCTGGGAGAAAAGGCCTCACCTTGAGGGGGTGCAGGGTCCCCTTGCAGTGACCTACAAACAGAGCAGGATGAAATGTGACCCAGCTCAGCCAGGCCCAACTGGCTGCCCTCCCTAGCCCAGTGGGTGGCGTCCTTCATTCTTTCAACAGTTTATTAAGTGCCTACTGCATGTCATGCGCTAGTCTAGGCACAAGGGATACAGCAGGGAACAAGACAGATGGAGAACTTGCCCTCACGGAGCTCACATTCTAGTGTAAGGACACACACGAGTCGAGCAATAAATAAGAAATTTGAAGTGCTATCGATACAGACAGGGTCATGTGACTGAGTGGCCAGGGGGACCCCAGCACCTTAGGGACAGTGGTGCCTTTAGATGGCATTCCTGGGAAAGACCTCTCTGAGGGGCAAGAGCCAAGCTGACACTGAAATTGGGGCAGGTGTTCTGGGAAGAAAGCAAATGTGTGGCAGCAAGGACAAAAGTCCAAAGCTGGGCCAGCCTCAGGCCACTAAGAAGCAAGTGCTRCTGGATTGTGGTGGGGGACAGGGGAGGCTGCTGGGGTCAGGCAGCCAGGCAGTGGGACCCAGGAGGGTCCATGACTGGGGGATGCTAATAAAGGTTCAAGGCTGGGGAGTGCTTGTAGCGACCTGCATCTTAGCCCGTGTAGAGACTGGGCCACCAGAGGGCATGGGGCATAGAGCTGGGGGCCAGGCACTGAGGTGGGAAGGAGTGCTCCCGTGGCGGGGCAGCACTGTGGGACCTGCTGAAGGCCAGGTATGGGTAGGGGCTGAGGCAGCAAGGAGGGAACCTGAGCAGCAGGGTAGATATGAGGCTGCTCTCTGGGGGAGGCCACAATTGTGAGGCTGAGGGCTCCAAGTTGGGCTCTGGCCAAGTTCAGATTGATGCCATTTTGTCACCAGGTAGGGGGCTGGGCAGGCAGCTAGCTGGTGTATGCACTGGTGCTTGCTCTTGGAGGAGATGGGGCTGAAGGCAGGAATTTGGAAGCTGCCAGCCTGAAGACAGATTCAAAGCAAGGGAAATGGAGGCGATGGGGCCCTGGCACTCACCGGGGCGTGGGGGAGCAGGGGGAATTGGGGAGAGGGGAAGTAGGGGTTGGGAGGTCAGGCCGGGCCGATGCCCCCAGCAGCTCAGGGTCCAGGATATAAATCTCGTCCTGTGCGATCTCGGTCACATAGTTGAGGTGCTCCTGTGGGTGGGAAGGTCAAAGCTCAGGGTCAAGGCCGAGGCACCTAGCCTTCCAGGTACCTGATGGTGGAGGCTGAGGGGCAGCAAACCTGGAGAAGCCTCTGATATAAGCATAAACAGCAAAGGGAGGCTGGGGACCGCCAATCCTTCCCCCTGCCTCCTTTCCATCCCTGCCGTCCAAASCTAGTCCCACTAGGCCCACAGCCAATCCTCTAGCCAGGTAGCTTGGCCCTGGCCACTCTCTTCCATCTCTTTGTACTGCTCTGTGCTCCAAGGCCAGCCAGCAAACCTTTCCTGTGTGCACCAGCTCCCTTCTCTGTTGGCACCATTCCAATGCACGCTAGCCTAGAGGATAGGGCCACCCACACCTGGTCATGGCCTCGTGAAAGTGGACTAGGGGACATGAGAACAGAGGCCAGTATGCCTGTGGAGCTGACAGGAAAGGCTTCCCTGGAGAGAGGGGTGTGTGGTACAGAGACCAGCTGCAGCGGAGCAGGCCTGCGGGGCTCACCTGGGCCCGATCGATCCTGTAGAAGCGGCTGGCAGTGGTGGCTGTGGAGAGACAGATGTTGAGGATAAGGGAGGTCCTTCTCCAAGTCCTCTGGGCCCAACCCAGGCTCCCTCAGGCAAGAGATAAGAGCAAATGTGGTACTGCTAGGAGCTGATCCTTCAGGGCATACTCACCATCCAGGAAACACCACTTGGGGGACAGTTTCTGGCACGTTGGGGACTTGGCTCCAGCACCATCAGGCTCCTGTTGAGAAAGAAGCAAGTGTCAAGGTGGAACAGAGCTGGGGTAAGGAGGGAGGGGAGCGCAGGGCAGGTGGTATCTCCTTACCTGCTGGAGCCTCTCAATGTGGGCACGGCAGAGCTCTAGGTCACTGTCTCCAGGGACCACTACAGTGCCCAGTGGCACAGCTGGAGGACAGAATAGCCCATCAACAGTTGGCTGTCCCCACTGTCCATCCCCAGGGGACCTGGCAGCTCCTCACCCCTCCCTGTCCCCAGCCCTGCTGGCACTCACAGGCCTCCTTGAGCTGTTCCTTGTCGTAGTGCAGGGCCTCGTAGTCGTGCATGCTGACCCTGCTCACCTGGATCCGCAGCTGTTCTGGTACTGGCTGCTGGCTGTGGGGCAGGGCTGGTGAGAGGGGACTCGGCAAGGGCCCTGCCCAGGGTACCAGCCCTGGTCCAGGCACCAAACCAAGCGCTGGGAGGGATGTCCTGCCCAGCTCCCTGGGGCAGAAGGACTATTAGATCTCCCCTTTTGTGGGTGTTGGGAAATCAAACCCAGGGCCTGGTACATGGTAGGCAAACATCCCACCACTGAGCCTCATTCCCAGCTCCTTTTACAGGTGAGAGTGACTTCCCAAAGATCAAAAGAGGGCCMGTTGGGCTGGGGGTGTGGCCCAGTGGTAGAGCACTCGCCTAGAGCATAAGAGGCCCTGGGTTYGATCCTCAGCACCACATAAAAGCAAATAAAATAAACATATTGTGTCCAACTACAACTTAAAAAAAAAAAAAGAGGACCTGTGCCTGGCTTCAGGACCCATGTTGCATGGTGGCAGGGCAGGGACATACTCGCTGTGCAGAGGGGTGGCACTCCGCCGCTTGGCTTTCTGCACCATGGTGGCTTGGTTGCGCAGGGCAATGCGAATGCGTGAGGCTGCGAGCTTGCAGGGCTCGCCATCCACCTGCACCGGAATGGCCTTGGCCGTGGTGAGGAGCACCTCTCGGCACTGCGTCAGCCGCTCGCCATGCCCACCCACCTGCAGTGCTGCCTGTGGGTACAGGAAGCTCCAGTCAGGTGGTGCCAGGATGGGATGGAGGCAGGGGGTGAGCTCTGCTCCTTCCAGAGAGGCTCTGACCAGAGCAGAGAGGAGACAGGGACCCCAGACAGAGTGCAGAATAGAGGGGAAGGGAGGAGATGGAGGCAATGAGAGTGACTTCCCAATCAGGACAAGTGACAGAAAGAGGACAGAGGCTCAGAGTCATCTCAAGTCAGAGAGAATAAGGGACAGTGAGCCCTGGGCCAGAGAAGGGAAGTGAGGTGAACTCCTCAACCCTGGCCAATCATGGGAAGCATGGGTGACCCCCAGTTTTAGGCCATGCTCCCAGGAACTGTRGGCAGAGAAGTGTTCAGGTAGAGCCAGGCCCACTCACCAGTGATGTCATGGTGAAGCCAATGACCTCGAGGTAGCCGTCGTCATGCCGCTGGGGCTCGAAGTCATGGTGCTCCCCAGGGTGGCCCCAGGGCATGGTGCCAGCACAGTACCTGAGGGAGGGCAATGGCCTGGCTTCGGCAAAGTCTTGGCAGGACAGGAGAGCAGGGTCCACCCGGAGCCCAACCTCCTCACCTGGGGATGTTTAGGAAAACAATGCACTGGGGCTTCAGGTCCTGGATCTTGGGGGTCAGGTCCACTCCATCACACTGTAGAGAGGCATGGGGGAACGTCGGGGGATGTGAGTGCCCAGGTGGTCTCCTCCCCTGCTTGGCCCTCTAYTCCACCTGCTGGTTCAGCCCTGCTCACCACTACTCGGATGTGCTTGGCCAAGTCCTTGGAGCTGCCCATCAGGAAGTCAGAGAAAGCTGTCTGTGGGAGACAGAGGGTATCACCATCTCCTGACAGGTACACCCTTGCCTCCGTGCAGCAGGGCTCCCGTGGCCTGGCAGACACTGATGGGCATTGCAGGTAGGGGGCTGGCCAACCTTGGACTTACCCCGGCATAGAACATCTTGTTCCGAAAGCGACTGTTGAATTTTTCTGGATTGGCCTCTGGATAGAGACAAATTGGGGGACAGTCAGTTAACCTGCTGGTGCTAAAGTGGGGAGAGGCTGGGCGAGTGTGCTTTACTGGGGAGCCAGACACTCCTGTCGYCCACCCTGCTCCCACCTCCCATGTTGCCCTCAGAATTTTGCCAACCTCGAGACTCATGAAATTCCAGGGTGACGTGGGCATCAAAACCCAGGCTGAAGTAGTTGTTGAAGACATCCAGGGGCAGCTAGAAAAAGGTCAAGGGACCATAAAGAGACCTGGGCCTCTCCGATGCCTCCCCTTCCTGAGCCGGGTCCAGCCTTCACACTTGCTCAGCATTCTGTCTGCTCCTAGAGGCTGTCTGTCCAGCGAAACCTCCCTGAGTGCTTCCCACCTGGCACTGTGTCACAAGGCATGCCCTGCCCTCCCAGATCCCGGGAGGCTTCCATGAGCGCCTGCTGGATGCCACAGCACTGCCTCCCCACACACCATACAGAGCATGAGCTCCAGGCATGGGCCTCTGTCTTGTCTGCTTAGAACAGTGCTGGGCACGTAACAAGGCCTTGAGAAATATTTGCCAGGTGGATGGATACAAAAGCTATCTCATGAGCTGAGGACCATTATTCCCCTGGGACAGAGACAGAAGTTGAAGTTGGGAGAACTGAAGAGACTCCTTTAAGCTTTCAGAGGCAACAGTGGAAGAGTGGGGCCCAGCCCCCATCTGCCGAGAATCTCAGACACCACAGACCCTGTCCCGTCCTGGCTGACTCACCCGGTCTGTGGCCCCCTCATCTCGCTCCTCAGGCCCTGCCTCGGGGTTGGGCTCCGCACGGAGGTCCCAGCGGTCCAGCTGCACCACATTCCCCTCCTCTACGTGGGAGAGGATCTTTGACACTGGTTCATCTGTGTAACCCTGGTGGAGGGAAGCAAGGACTGAGCCTCTCCTGTGGCTAGAGACCCCCGTGACCACCCCCCACTCCCAGAGTTGCTTACCCCGCCCCAGTTGAGGGTGCGGGCCAAGTCGTTGCCAGTACCCAGAGGCAAGATGGCAACAGGGGGCGGAGGCTTTAAGCGCAGCTGGTCCAGGGTGGAGAGAATCCAGCCAACCTGGAGAGGGCAAAGTACCAAAAGTCTGGGCTTGGCAGGGGACAGCACCGCAGGCCCCATCCAGGCCCTGGGAGAACCCACCACACTGAACCCACCGTGCCATCGCCCCCGCACGCCAGGATCCGAAGGTTGTGCACTTTGCGGTACATTTCCAGTCTGGGCCGGGGAAGACAGAATGGAGTCAGGATGTGTGCCACGCCCCAGAGCCAGGCAAGCCCCTGCCATTCCCCAAGGAACCTGGGCAAGGACTTACGCTTCCTTGGGCCCTCCCTGGCTCAGGTCAAAGACTTGTCGAGGATTGAGGTACCAGAGAAAGGACTGGATGATCTTAGCGCCCTGGGGGGACAGGGAGCCAAGTGTTGTAGAAGGGATGAGGGGGGACAGGAGGAAGCAGTCGGGGTGAAGTGGGGAAAAGAAGCACAGGGAAAAGGATGTGACTGTGGAACCAGGCTCAGCAGGGGTGAGGGACAGAGATGGCTTTTCTTAGGATCCCTGAGGTAGAGGGCCAGGGTTGGAAGCCTGAAATGGACGCTGGAACAACTGGTAGGTGGGAGTGACCCCAACCCTTATGGCAGTCTCTCTAGAGGAAAGCTGTGCTCACCTGGTTGCCCCCACTCTTGGGGTTCACAAACACCAGCAGGGGCTTCATGAGGGGTGAAGGGGTCGGCCTGATGATGAAGGGTCTCCAGCGGCCCTCCTTGGAGACACACAGTTTCTGAGGCTCTTTCCTGCCCTGGAGACCCTACCCTCATCCTCAGCAGATCCCTGGATGACACCCCATCCCACACCACACCCTCAGGTACCAACTAGGTCAGACTTCATGGGGAACCTGGCCTTGGGGAAAACTGGAGCCATCTTCTGCCCTCATCAGGCCTGTAGGCCCTAACTGACCTGCTGAAGGCTGAGCTGGCAACATCAGGCTCAGGGGCTCCAGATCCCAAGGAACAGACTCCCCTTTTCTGGCCCCCAACTCGTCCCTCCCACCAGCCCCTTATCTAACCTCAGGCCCTTTCTTGCTGGACTTCCTCTTAAAGGACGCTCTCTTTTTCTTCTTGCTGGCCTTGAGGGTATTCTGCAAGGAAAATGGGGTGTTGGTGACAAGGAGGGCGAGTTGGCTTGTCTGGCAAGAGTGTGGGAGATGCCAAGGGTGTGGGAAGGACTCACCTGGGGCCTCCGAGCACGGAGGATCCAGGTGGGTGGGATGACCACGGCTGCATGGACCCCCAGGGAGCAGGGCTCCTCGATCTGTTGCAGCATGAAGCAGGAGACCTTGCTGTGGTACTGGAGGGGAGTGACGGGCCAGGCTGAGATGGGCCAGGCTGAGTCCTGGGACCCAAGCTCAGCACTGTGTGGCATGGGCCCATGGGGTGGGGTCACCTCTTACCGCTTGCTTGCACCAGGAGCAGCTGATGGCCACGATCTCCTTGCTGTGAAAGGTGAACTTCTGCTGGAAGCCCTGAGGGTGGACAAGGAGGCTGGGGCACAGGGTGACCTAAAGCATAGCCCCTGACCCACTTCTGCTGCCAACCTCTCTCCACACAGGGAAACTGAGCGCAGAAGAAAAAAGCCCCAGATACACAATAAGCCTCAAGGGCAGGGGGCCCCTTAGCTAGGGGCCCATGACTAGAGCTAACTGCAAAGTCTGGGTGCACATGTATTCTTGAGGATCTGAGGGCCAACCACCGCCCAACTCTGGGTTCCCCTCCTTCCTGCCTCCAGAGCTGGCCGGGCCCCCGAAGTGCTGCACGGCCTCCTGCGGTACCCACGGCATTCACTCCCTCTCCCCTCCACAAAACATTAACAAAGCCTAAATGGAGGAACGAGCCCCTACACCTCTGAGAGCCTGCACTTGCTGAAGGAGACAGACAAGAGGCAAAAAGTAAGTGAACAAAACAACTGCGGGCTGTGCTGGGGAAGATGCTCTGCAATCTGTCTTCAGCCACGTTCCCCTCGGGGGCAGGAACCCGATGCCCAGCTCAGGGCTTGGCATGCAATATTTGCACAATAAATATCTGCTGAGTTAATGAATGAAAAAGTCTACATGGTTCTCAAAGAATTCCCTCCCCCAAGTTCAAAACAGACTAGACCTACCACATTAGAAGGAAACTTTCCTTAGCCCAGAGACCAAGAGTGTGGCAAGGGTGTTTGCAGACTAAGTGGCCACAGCCAGGCTTAGAGCCAGCTGGGGAGTCTGCACTCTGGGGCCACAGCTGGTGGGGTCAGGCCATGCTGAACACACAGAGTCCTTGGGCAGTAGGCAGATAGCAATCTTAGGCAGGACCCTCACCTTCCCACAGTGCCGACACTTGCCATCCTGGCGTCGCCTGTGTACCCAGTGGTGCCGTACGAAGGTTGGCTGGGGGAGGAGGGGGGAGAAAAATATCACTGGAGGGGTGAATTAGGGCTGTCCCTGAGCACGGCCTAGGCCCCTCAATGTCTCATGGTGAGGGCTGGGGGCTACGGGGCTCTCTGCAGTCTTGCATGTGAAGACTTCTGTCTGTGGCCTGGAGGGAAGACTGAGATTCTTAGGAGGGAAAGAGAGAGCTGGGAGGCACAGAGAGGCACTCGATGCCCAGCTCTCTCAGGCAGTGCCAGTCAGGCCTGGCCTTGGGAGACTCAGAGCCTCATCCCAGGACCTGCCCAGACCCCAAGCTGCCTAGAAGGAGCTGAGCCCCCTAGTGGCACTCTGGAAGCACTGCAGAGAAATCCCTCAGGAACCTGGGGCCTCCCTGACCCTAAGCACAGTGCACACATACCTCACGGACATTCCTGGAACCAGATTCCCGGAAGGATGGCTTACAGCGGAAATTTATCTGTGAGACATTGCAATGACCACCAAAATGTCAGAATCTCCTTTCGACATGGTCATCCAGAGTCACCATCAAAGGTAGCRGGAGCCCCAGATTACCCCAGTAACCCTTGGAACATGCCCACTGACCAGAAGGGATCTTTCCTTCCTCTGCCCAGGATTCTGGGATGAAGAGGCTGAGCGTTTCATGCCCTCTCCTACTAAACTGGGACCACGGTTTACTCATTTTTCTACTGTTCTCACCCTCTGGCACTCCAGACATAGGTGAATGCAGGAACCCCATCCTGCTCACAGCTCTGTTGAGCAGCCCCTGGAGACCCTTAGCTAATGGGGTGAACCCAGGTTCAATTTCCACCTTTGTCAATGGGGCTGCAGTGCCTAGGGCTGTTTCTACTCCTCTTTTCCTAACTGTCCCTGCTGCAGCGTCAGAAGAGTCTCTGCAATTCTTGGGAGGCTCTAGGGAGGCTCTGCGATTCCTGGGCCAAGGGAAGCAGCCGCGTGGGCCTTGCTCATGCCGCTCCTAGTCCTACACAGTCTCCTGAATGCTGGCCTGGCTTCTGCAGGCTGGGGAGCTCATCCACCCCACCTACCTTGATGGGCCCACTCACCAGTGTTCCCTTCCCCCCACCAGTGCCCAGACATGCCCCCAGCGGCAGACACAGGGTGCCCAATGGTCCTTGGGAGAAAGGTCTCTGAACAAGCAGAATGCAGAGGACAGGGGCAGGCTTTAGCACATTCCATGGCCTCTTCTATTTGTTAGCTGGGACAAGATAGAACGGTACAATACCGTTGTCACTTCATGCTGTTGAGTTACATACAACAAACCCCACTCTATGCCAGGTATTTAAGGCACTGGGTACAACAGCTAATAAATGGGGGGAGGCAGGATTCAAATGCAGGCATTTTTGGCTCYAGGGTCCTTGAGTCTTCACTACCACACAAACTGTGTAACCCAGGTGATGTTTGTGTAATGCACACATCTGTATGCAGATATACAAGTGTATGTGCTTCCACACCCAAAAGGGAGGCTGAGTGGCCACACTCACCTTCTCCAGCTGCTCAATGCAGGGGGTGTGCACCACAATCTTGCAGGCTGCACATTTTCTCCTGGACACAGATTTCTGCTGCAAGACAGAAAGAGAGGGCCCCTGAGGCACCAGGTAACTCCATCCCAGACACTGCCTCAGGGCAAGCAGTTTTCTGCACAGCTTCTCTGTGCATCAGGATCTCAAGCCCCAGCATCCAGCCTCAGGACAAATCCCATTTCTCCCGCTCCTAGGCAGCCCAAGCAGGATTGCTCAGGTGAGAGCTTGTGTTCACCTTTGGGAAGGGCTATAGCTGTCTACCTGCAGAGGTTGGCCGGCGGGCATCTAGACCCTGCCTCACCGCCAGGGGGCAGCAAGCCCTGCAGTGCTCACTCACCAGCATCTTGGCTACGCAGTACTGCTCCCCAACATAGCAGAAGTCCCCCGACACGTTGGTCTCAAACCAGATGTGTTCCCCATATGTTGCTGACTCCTAGACCACGGGATGAACATGCTCAGTGCTTACCTTCAGCTTCCCCTGCCCACCAGCAGCCCCATCTCACAAGACAAACCTGTTCCAGGTACCACAATCTATTTTCCTGTTTTTCCCACTCACTACTACTTAGGTCTGGCTCAAGGGAAGCCACCCGCAGGAAGTCTGCCAAACTCCACTGGCCCAGGGCTCCTCTCTCAGTTGCTCAGAGGATCCCTAGGCCTGGGCTGCTCCCAGGTCCCAGAGCCCAGCGGGGCCGATGCCTGTGGTGTTCAGGTACACGCCTCTCCCAGTACCCAGCTACTCACACTCCAGTCCACAGTGCTCCGGATCTGCCTCTCGGCCTCGCCACACAGGGCCCCAGGAGTTGGGGGAGGGGGTGCCAGGTGTTGGAGGCCCGACTTGGTGATAGCTTTCCTACAAAAATGGGGACAGCTGAGGCTCTAGGGCCAGTTGTGCACTTGCTGATTCTACTTCCTTCCCCGCCACCTGGGATCTCTGCCCTCATGTGGCCTCCACCAAGGCCAAGACTGGGACAGGAGGGAGAGGAGAGGATCCCACAGCAGCCCAGGCACTGAGGCTCCCTGTGGGCATTTCAGCCCTTTTCATAGCTTTGTTGGGTGAGCTGGCTTCAGGCACTGCCCAGAGGGGCCAGGCAGAGCTCTGAGGCCCRCACCCCTAGCCAGCCCCTCAGAGGCTGCAGCATGGCCCCCCTGCTGCAGCTATACCTACACAAGCAGGGTGCTCCAGGCCTGGGGTCCTGCCGACTTGCGCCGCAGGGCTACCTGGCGCCTGCGGGTCAGCGGGCGCACCCGGGCAGGGATCATGGCGCCCACCATGGTGCCTGAGGTTCTTCGGCCCCCAGGGCCAGGGTGCTGGCCAGAGGGCCGCTGTTGGCTGAGGCGACGATAGTGGCCATGCAGGCCCCAGAGGGCATGATCATATACCACATCAGCAGGAAGCAGGTGGGAGGAGGCTCGACGCAGGCATCGGGGCAGGGTTGGCAGCAGCCAGGTGCCTGCAGTGTTGGGAGGTGTCCTGGTGCCCGGCTGGGTGGCACTTGATGCCCCAGCAGTCACATTCTCCTGGACACCCTCCTCCTCCTCTTTCATGCCGACAAGCCCAGCCAAGAGCAGAGGTGYACCCAGAAGCTGAGCCCCAACGGTGGCAGGCGGAGGGGTGGGCACGGATTCCACAACAAAGCGGGGATTGCAGGCAGGGGGCGCGGTGCTGGAGCGACGGCGGCTGGTACCCTGGGTGCCCACCCCGCAGCCCAGGAGGCAGCCCTGGGGCTGTGCACTGGAGCGCCTCCGCTGGGCCAGCATGGAGGAGGCCTGCCCTGCAGGGGAGCGACGCCGGGCCTTGCCCGTGAGCAGCCCCACACCGCTGGGCCGCCGCTGCCCCGCTCCAGGGCCTGGTGCCTTCCGCTGGAAATGTCTCCTAAAGAAGGTCTCCATGCGAGGGGCAGGCTGGTGGCTGTTGAGCACAGAGACCAGGAACATCAGGAACTCAGCCAGGTTGTGGCCAGTCTGTGCCCAGGAGCCCTTGCACAGCCCATGCCCCATGAACAGAGAAGGGACACTGGAGTTAAGGGTAAGGATAACCTTGGCCTTTGGCTTCCATGAGCAGAGTGTTTGAGGGTACAGGGAGGATACACAGAGGAACCTGCGTTTACAGCTACTGGGGCAAGGACGTTCTCCCCAGCTGTACCCCAGACTGTCTCTGAAGTCCTAGGGAAAGGGGACTTCCACTGCCCAGGCACCAGAATCCATAAAGCCCAGGACCTAAAGGGCCTCATCCCTTTGCCAGAAGGTGGTGGAAAAGAAAGGAAAAACTGGGAGTCTGAGCCGGCACAGGCAGGCTGTGGGGCCCGGGCCTTTCCTTCTTGAGCAGCCTTTTTTGGCCTTTTCTATCTGTGTTTTCCAGTACTGGGGACGGAACCAGAGGTGCTCGACCACTGAGCCACACCCCCAGCCCTTTACATTTTTTGAGACAGGGTCTTGCTGAGTTGTCCACATTGGCCTCAAACTTGCCATCCTCCTGCCTCAGCTTCCTGAACTGGGGAAGCTACAGCTATGCGCCGCCACACACAGCCAGCCTTTGCTTTGCCCTGAATGTGGAACAGGCTGGGTTCCCTGCTGGAACAGGGCCCAAACCAAGCAATGATTATAACACAAGGCACCCCGCAAAGGAATTCAGTCCTGATAAGACCCCAGAACTCTTAACCCCAGCCCTGGGGTCRGCCCAAGTGAGGTGGCACCTAGGAACACAGACCTATGACTCTGGGTCAGGAATCAGAGACCCTGGGGAAATCAGGCCTTAGAAAACAGGAATGTCAGCCCCTCAGGGAAAGCCACACTGTCTTCACTCAGGGGTTGGAAGCAAGAGGCTTGGGCCAAAAGAAAAGCCTCCTGGACCGACATGTGTGCACACCTTTGTCTCTAAGAACTTCCTTGTTCCCAGCGACTCTATCTCCACCTTTCTGAAGGGGCAGATACGACACTCCATGCGCCATGCCTGGAAACCCTGCCAGTACTGCTGCCGAGGAAGCCTGCTCTAGAAGCCCCACGACCCACAATTCCCAGCACCAGCTTCCCAGAGCTCCCTCCTGCAAGGAGGCTGAGGCTCCGGACACAACCCTGCACCCCACGGCCACCCTCATGCCGTTCTGAGCTGGGCTCCTTTTGCCAGCTCCCCTCCTCTCCGCCCTTCCCTCCTCCACAGGCCACTGGCAGCCGGTTCTTGTGCTCACACTTCTTTTTTTTTTTTTTTTTTTGGAAGGGGGGGGCACCAAGGATTGAATCTAGGGGTATTTAACCACAGAGCCACATCCCCRGCCTTTTTATTTTCTATTTTGGGACAGGGTCCACCTAAGTTGCTAAGGCTAGCCTTGAACTTGTGATCCTCCTGCTTCAGCCTCCTCAGGTGCTGTATTAACAGGTGTGCACCACCACACCCAGCCTCCTAACTTTTGAGGAGGGTGTGAAGTTGGTACAGCTCAGGGTGGTGATGCTTCCAGAGCACCCCTATCTTCTGGGCCCTGTGCCCTGAGCCTGGGGAGAAGTCCATGGGGGTAGGACAGCCTAGTCCCCAGCAGCCACAGAGTGCAAGTCACAGCCATGAAATGATGTTGCCTAGGCTGACAGGAGAAAAGACTTCTGCCCACCGAGGGTCTGGCTGAAGTTGGATATGGGGGTGTGCCCTAGACCAGCAGTGGGCAGGAGGGAGCAGGGCCAGAGACGATGGCTGCACCCCTAGTGCCTCCCGGTTCTTGCCCTGTTGCTGCCCTGTGGTCTCGCTGGCAGCTTCACAACCTGTGCAGGGTGAAAGCAGAGGGCCAGTGGGCAGAAGGCTCTGAGCTCCGGTGCCATCAGAGAGCGAGGCTGCKGTGCCTGAAGAAGCAGTGTTCAAGACAGGCAGGCGCAAAACAGAGCTCTCACCCCCAAAGGCGGTCCCCTCAAACCAGATGGACCGAGCAGGAGGTGAGCCCAGGGATAGGAGAGCAGGCCTGGGCACACTGTCCCTGATTTCCTAAAACTGGCATCATCCCAGCTAACTCTCACTTCCCACTGTGCTGAGCCCTCGACACACGTATGTTATAAACCACAGCAACCCTGAGGAACGGTACTGTGTGCTACATTCCTGCCGAGGAAACTAGGTGCAGAGAGGTGCCGCCTGAAGTCCTCAGCCAATCCCCGTGCAGCCAGTGTGGGAACCTACACTACCCGGTGGTGAGCCCTGCACCCCAGATGGACAAGCATCGGGTCTTTCCTCTTGGCCCCTGAGGTGGGGACTCAGGGGTTGGGAAGGGAATGATATACTAGCTATTCTATGTGCTCTGGTCCTGTGACAGTGACAGGCTCTGGATAAGCCCTTGATTGCCTCATCTGATTCCTACTGCAGCCCCGGGAAGGAAGCAGGACCAGCAGCTCCTTCGCAAGATGAGGGAAACAGCTTGAAGAGGTGCAGTAACATGCCCACGGTCACCGGGTCAGCCAGCGGCAGAGCTGGGACCTGTGCCCAGGTCTGCCTGATCTGGGGTCTGCTTTGTGTCCTGGGAAGGCTCCTGAAGGCCTAGCCACCACCGCTGCCAGGACACTGGCTTGCCGGCACTCCCCAGGGTGTCGGCTTTCCCCACCCATCTGCCCAGGCTGCCCTGTGACAGCTGCCCAGCCTGGAGCAGATTAGTCACCCGGACACACCGCCTGATGCTAGTGTCACCCAGAAAACAAAAGGCCACAGTGTGGGTGGGGGAGGTGCTGCTGTGCTCCCTGGGTGGTGGTAAGGGCCAGCCCTGCCCGCTGTCCCAGACCTGTACTAATGACAGGGGCCAGGAGGCAGAGGTGGCCTGAACCCCCATCACAACATGGAGACAGTTTACAGGTGCTCCTAAAGAACCCAGCCCCACATGCTGCCAGGAGGCCAGGTCCCATGTGTGTAGAATCCTCAGCTACCCAGTGGTGCAGGCCTAAGAGGGGCTCCAGGCAGGCCAGGCAGCGCCAGCACTGCGCGACCACGTGCCACCAGCCTCAGTTTCCCTGTCTGTCTGAGGAGACCGTGAGACTGGCTCAGGTTTTATGACAAGCTCTCCTGCTAGGCACCCACACCTCTAGGCTCCCACTCTCCCCTCCCCCAGGTCCCATGCTTCCTGTTCCTCTGGTCTCCATAGAAACCTCTGTCCTCTGGTCAGCAGTCGCCTGACTCCTTACTTCCTATCTCTGCAGAGGCTTCTTCTGGGTCTCACCAGAAGCCCAGCCTGGACCTGTTGGAAACCCTGCCTGGGCCTGAGCCTCTCCCACGGCGCAGCCCCCAGCAGCAGCTTCTTCTCACCTCAGACACACCACACAGGACACATAAAGGTCACTGCAGGAAGCCCCACAGGGTTCTGACACTGAGAGCACAGCAAAGTGGCTGCCCCTTGGCTTCCTGCCGGACCCTGGAAGAAACCTGCCACATCCAAGGAGACAAGAAGGGAAAGGGTTCATGGGGGCCCCCTGTCCACCTCCAGCCCTGCCCTGATGACGGGAGGCCAGTGGGAACACAAGGACGCCTGGGGACAGGTGCAGTGGTGTCTGACTATGTGCTCAAGATGACTGAGGCTGCAACGGTGGGGCTGAGGCAGGTGCAGTGCGGTCGGGGGTGGGGGGGCCCAGTGCTTCAGCTTCCAGCCAGGGAGGATCCCAGCCTCCGGTCAGCCCGCCTCCTAACGCCAGCAGCAAGTGAGAAGGACCAAGCACACTGGAACCCTGCATCTGCCACTGCTACCCTAGAGTGGCTGACTAGTCTGATTTTCCATTTTCTCATCTGCAAAATGGAGATCATGCCTCCTAGTTCCCAAGGTTGGCACAGGGTGGCTCTGAAGCAATGGTGAACATAAGGTACCAGACGATACCTGGCAGAGCAGGGGCATGGCGGGGCCCACATCCAAACAGACCAAGAGCCTGTGGTTGTGCCACCTCATAGGGTCTCCTGTCCACAGCGGGGGTGGAATCCCAAAATGGGAAGCAGGCATGCCTGGGTGGCTACCACTCACCACATGAGGAACAGAGCCTGGCAGCCTGTGCCACCTGGGCATCTGCTCGTGCTGTGAAGAGTGCCCTTGGCTCTGGCATCAGGCTGATCCCTGGGGCCTCCTCTGCCTCCAGAGGAACTGGCACAGGAACTCGGTGGGATCCAGCTAAAGTGGCCATTCCATGCTGTGGCCAGGGCCCCTAGTCCCCTGCTCAGTGAAGCTAGGCATGGAGCATGATGCTCCTATTCCAGCAGCCCCAGAGAAAGGGCCTGCAGCTGCCTCCCCAGGGGGCTGCTGGCCAGAAGCCACATCTRGCTGCTCGGCTCCCACAGCCCTGGTAGGAGCAGAGGAGGTGGGAGAGCTGGAAGGGAGCCCGCACATCCCCAGGAGTGGGAGAGGCAGGGTCCTGACTTCCCCAGGCCTCCACTCACTAAAAGGACCCTGCAGAAAACAAAACAAGGAACACAAATGCACACAGGGATCCAGGGGCCAGGGCTGGACAGTAAGGGGGGCCCAGGCCAGTAGGACGTTTACCTTCCAGGGCCCCCCTGGCTTGGGCAGGAGTGTGAGCTTGACCGGACCTTTTCCTTCTCCATCAGCTTTGGGGACCTGACAGGGTAAGTCCCTCCTCTAGGAACAGTGGTGCCTGGGCCCATGCGGATCCACCCCTTCCAGACCCACCCAGATAATGCAGAAGGGAGGGATCAGAAGGCAAGGAAGGGTCAGGGGAGCCCCGTTGACCTGATCTGGAAGGCAGGGTGGCAGGCAGGAGGTGGGCAAGCAGGTGGGGGCTGGGGTCTCCAGGCGGCTCTGGCTCTGGCTCCAGCTCTGGGCTACCGGCCTCCTCCGCTGAGCAAGTCCTAGTTTGGAGCTCGAGCTGCAGTGGCTGCTTATCTGCCCCCTCCCCCTCGCCACCCTCCTCCCCCTAGCCTGTGACAGCCGTTATGAAAATAGCCCAATTGGTAACCGACTGCACTTCCTCTCCCAGCGGCGGCTCCAGGCCCTGCAGCAGGCAGGCGGTGGGTGGGCGGGTGGCACCCGGTGGCAYAAAAGGCCCACGAGCCTTGCCTCCTGGCTCCTCTTCCCCAAGTCTGGAAGCCAGGCTGCRTGACAGCCCCATCAATAGCCTCTCCTCCCTGCAGAGCCCAGGCCATGCCTCAGCTTGCTCAGGGACAAGGTCTAACTAAGGAGGGAGAGGTGGGGGTCCAACAGGATTCCCCTTCAAGAAGACAGTGCTGGGTCCCAAGGACAGGTTTTCTGGGGTCTGAGGCAGTTAAGCTCTAGACAAAACAACCACATAAATAAATATCTGAGAAGTGTTTCACACCTTAGGAAAGCTTCCTTCACCAGCATTATCATGCAGGAGACAGCAGTTTCCCCGCAGGTGGCCTACTGTCCCTGAGGAACAGATGGGGACAGAAGTGCTGGTGGCTGACTGGGGATTCTAGGGCATGTGTCCTCTGGCACTGCCAAAAAAGCCTTTCAGAACCGCCCCTGCTTGTGCCAAGCTAAAGGACACCCAGGACAGGGCAGGTGTGTCACACGTACCCTACCTGGACTGCCATCCTCTAGCTCACAGTCCTGCTATGGCTCCCTAGGATCTAGAGTGGCAGCAAACGTCCTGATTCTGGATCCCTTTCCACTCTTTTTTATTTTTTTATTTTTAATATTTATTTTTTTTTAGTTCTCGGCGGACACAACATCTTTGTTGGTATGTGGTGCTGGGGATCGAACCCGGGCCGCACGCATGCCAGGCGAGCGCGCTACCAGTTGAGCCACATCCCCAGCCCCCTTTCCACTCTTAATACTGGAGATTCTAAAAAATTTTTTTTTCCCTGTGGGGGCCAGGGATGGGGGGTAGCTATTAAAATTTACCATACCCAGARTTAAAACTGAGAAATGTTTTAAATTTTATTAACTCATTTAAAAACAAGAATCTCATCACATGTTAACCTTAATAACCTGCTTATGAAAATAAACTATACTTTCTAAAACAAAAATATTAGCTAAAAGAGTGGCACTGTTACATGTTTTTGCAAACCTCTTCTCATGTCGGCTTACCAGAAGGCAGCTGGGTTCTSGGGCAACATCTACTCCTGCAGCTGTCTATTACCACAGGTTGCTCCGRTTGAACACAAGAGAACTCACACTGACGTGTAATTAGAAAAGGAAGGAATAGTTTACCAGCCTTTTCAGTAGCTACAAACATTCTTCTTAGCTTCTACACCAAATATGACAAGTAATAGTTTGCTAAAGGTTTGTTGAAGGGTAGAATCTGAGAGCATATTAGTGACCTTTTTCTGGGACTATCTTGCAGGTTGTTTGTTTGAGACAATGTTGCCCAGGCTGGTCTTGAACTCCTGAGCTCAAGCTATCCTCCAGCCTCTTCCTCCAGAGTGGCTGGGGCTATGGATCACACCATCAGGCCTAGGCTATCTTGCAATGTGAACTTTGTAACATCAAGCGTGGTCACTGGAGAATATTAATTTCCTGGGCTATGCAGGTCTTTCAGATGTTGACCCATTTCATCAGACAATATCAAAAGATCACATTTGCTATCACTACTAATCTCATCAGAAAGTTTTAAATCCTGGGAAGTTACCTGTATCTAGAAGGTGGATACAAGGTTTCCAAAAATCTCATCTGTGTTCAAAAGCTCAAATTTTCTCACTGGCAACAAATTCTGATACTATTTTCCAAGTGACAGGCTCACTTCATTCATTTTTGAGAAAATGTCTGCCAGATACCCAAGTCTGACTAGCTTGTCTGTCAGGTGCTCAAGTAAAAATGGTGCTCCTTAAAAAAATGTGATGGGTGCAGCTTGYGACGTGGCGGCCTAGCGCTCCTCCTCACCAAGGCTCGGCAGCAGCAAAAGTGCCTCGTCTTGCTTGCTCCGTAGTTCCTCACCCAGGATATTAAAAAGACAAACGCTCAGGGTCTTGACTTAATAAAGCTAGTAATTTTAACTTCTTTGTTATTTGGCACTGGGGATTTTGTCCAGGGGTACTTTACCACTGAGCTTCGTCCCGGCCACTTGTATTTTGAAATGGGGTCTCGCTGAGTGGCTGAGGCTGGCCTCGAATTTGCAACTGTCCTGCCTCAACCTCCCAAGTTGCTGAGATTACAGGTATGTGCCATTGCACCGGTGATTTTTACTACTTAAAAAAAAACAAAAACCTGAGAGTATGGAGTGGATGCAGTGATATGTGTGTGTGGGGGGGGAGGGGGGGTTGGGATGGGTGTGAAGACTCCACCAGCTGCACCCCAGCTTCTGCAACATCAGGTCAGGTGCACCTAGGACAGCCAACTGCGAACCAGAACAGCTCTGTACACCTTGTTCCCTCATCAACCCCCAAAACACTTGAGGACCATACTTCACTACCTGCTGATTCACAGTGGGTTCTAAATCCTCCAGCCTGGCCAAAGTGGCTTCTGCGATGAGGTACTAACTCAGTCTCCTTGGCCATGACACAAGCCCTTGGTTCTAACCAAGCCAACCATCTTCTGTCCAGTCTGGCTGTCCGGCTCACTATTTTCCAAGTGACAGGCTCACTTCATTCATTTTAGAGAAAATGTCTGCCAGATACCCAAGTTTGACTAGCTTGTCTGTCAGGTGCTCAAGTAAAAATGGTGCCCCATACCCAGCACACCTTCTTTCTGAACCCGGGCCTCCCTCCCCATGGGCTCTTAAAAGCTCCACTGCTTGCAGCTGCTCCAGCCGCCAGTGGAGGCACCCCCAGGCCTTCACATCAGCCATTTGGCTGCTGTGCCACCCGAGCCCCGGAAAGCCTGCTTCTTCCAGGCCCACACCTCCTTCCTCCATCAGACCACAAGTTCCTAGGGGCTGGGCCTTGGTCCACTGGGCACACCAGCACAGGCCGGACAGTCAGTTGGTGTTTACTGCTCTTCAGCTCAGGAGGAAGGAACAGGGAATTCCGTGGAGGAGGGGCCACAACCTTCAGGGAAGAGAAGGGCTTCCTCCCCTGGGTACCGCACCCAAGGGCTGGCCACAGGCCCAGGCCACTTCTCTTTGTTGGGTACAAGGGGATGGTAACAGCCTTTGTTTTCGTGGCTACCTTCCTCTCCTTTCCAGGAGATCTGAGCGACAGCTGAAGGCCCCTTTCTGGGCTGGGAGCCATCGCCCACTCCATGTTCTCCATGGTTTCCCTTATGAAACCTGGACAGCAGGATTGGGTGACACAAAGTCACAAGGTGGGAGTGAGGCAAGGAGGGGAGAAGAAGGGCTGGCTGCCTCAGATGCTTGGGGGCTGGGCCAGGATTCTAACTGAGTTTCTTAAGGAAATGTCCCCAGTCTCTTCTCCTTCATGTCCTGGGGCCTTGTCTCAGGGCCTGGCCCCTGCCAGGTCTGGGACAGAGGCATGTGGAATGAGCAGGAGAAACTGACTCATCCTTTTAGCACCTCTTCTCCAGCAGTCCTCCTGTTGCCCCCAGAACTCATTTGAAGGCACTCATTAGTATCGCTGGCTCCCCACTGCCAATAGCCCCCCAGCTATTTCCTATGTTGTCTATTTTATTTGACAAAAACATACCTCACTCAGCCACTGCATGCCTCTAAATTTTCTACAAATATTGATCTATTCATCCTATAAAGTTAATTAATGGTTATCCCTATTTCCCGTGTCCTCCGATTATGGGTAAGAAAACTGAGGCACAGGCACTCGGTGGTTAAGTGACCTGCTAGAGGCCACGCAGCTAGAGGCAGCAGAGCTGGTGCGAGAACCCTACAGTGTGCTCCAAGGTCCAGACCTCTACCTCTAAACGCTTTTGTCACACGGTACATGCCTCTGCGCTTAGCACCTGAAATCTCTATACTGGAATATGAGTCTGCTCTTCTGCTTACTGAACTTTGCCTCTTCTTTCCCTCTCATCTTGTAAGAGCTGGCTCAGATATTGGATCTGCCAGAAAGTTCTCCCCAGCCCCCTCTCCCAGGGGGTTAGCTGCTCCCACGCCCTCTCTCAGTTATTCTGGGCCAGCAGTCCTGGTTTGGGAGTCTGCACCCGCACAAGACTGCGAGCCCCAGAGATATCGTACTGCTAGTAATTGCATCCCCAGGGTGTAGAAGTGCTGGGTGTGGCCTGAGAGTGAAGTGAGGGAAAGTGAACCATCCCCACACCCTCATAGATCAGGGCTTGAGGGCCTCCTCCTGAGGTGTTCCTGCTAGCACTAGGTAGACAAGCTGCTGGTCTGGGCGGAGTCCTGTGTCCTGAAGACAGCACTGAAAGTGATCCCTCAAGGGAAGGCCAGTATGTCTCCATCTGAGTCTCCCAACTGGGCCCCTTTGTTACAGTGCCCCAACCCCCACTCGTCTCTGGTGACTAGTTCCCTCGCCTCACCTTCTCCTGTGTCTGCACAAGCTCCATTCCCCATCTGCTGGGCAAAACATCCCCCCTCACCCCTCATTCAAGATTTAACATCCCCCCAACCTTCTGAAACCTCAGGCCCAGCCCTAGGCACCCAAGGCAGCCCCTGCTGTCCCCGCTTTGTGACTTTCTGTCACCCAATCCTGCTGTTTGGGTCTCATAAAGAAAGCCATGGAGAATCGGAGTGGGCAGTGGCTCCCATCCCAAAGGGGCCTCCCTCACTACCTGGAAGATTGTAGCTCAGCTATCAGCACCCAGGGTCCACCTTCCCTCCAGGAGTCCACCCAATCCAGAGTTTGGATTAGGAACTGTGCCTAAACGCCGAGCCACAGGCAACTCAGGTCTTCAATGTGGATTTGGAAACAGGTTCAGAGGGGTTCTGAGGCTAACCAGCACCACCTCAGGCTAAGCCTCTTCATCTGTGTGGGCCTCACTCTCCTCTGATAAACCACGTGAATGCCTACCTTGTTCTCCTCACAGGACTGCTGTATGCTTGAAAGAGAAA